AAACCCTAAACCCTCAAAGCCCCAAAGCCCCTAAACCCCTAAACCCTAAACCCTCAAAGCCCAAACCTAAACCCTAAACCCTAAACCCTCAAAGCCCAAAAGCCCCTAAACCCTAAACCCTCAAAGCCCAAAAGCCCCACCCCATGGCCTCGTCGGCCCCGGGCCGCTCGGCGACTTGGCGCACGCCACGGTAGGACACGAAGAGCTGGCTGGCCTACCCGGTTTAGGGTGTGCCAGAAAGGGTCTTAACAGTTAGTAGGGTTTAGGGTTTAGGGTTTGCCAGAAAGGGTTTTAACAGCTAGTAGGGTTCAGGGTTTAGGGTTTGCCAGAAAGGGTCTTAACAGTTCGTATCAAACGGGATCTATCACGGTTCTATGATACGGGTTCCATACCCCCCAAAGCTGCTAAGGTCCGGGGGCGCTCTATACGGGATTCTTATTATCAAATAACAAGAGCTTTGTACGGGTACAGCTGTAGCCGCTCGAATACAAATCTAGATACACATTATAATATATTGCGAGACCTTTGGCAATAAAATTCTCATCAGTCGAGATCATCTAAATGCTTTCGCACGAATTTTGGGGCTTAGGGGGTTTTTCGGGCCTTCGAAGTTGTTCAGCTTTTTAGGGCAGTTTCGGGGGGAGGGTTCTAGCGGTTTTCCATACCTTCACAATCTAGAACTTAAGCCCAGAAGGCTACAACTTGGAACCTAAGGCAAAATAGATTCGATGAGTAAAGAACTAGGCTCAAGAACCCTGGTGTACGCTCAGCCTGGCGGCTCCCTGTCGAAGGTCTTGTTAGGGTTTAGGGGTTTAGGGTTTAGGGGCTTAGGGGTTTAAGGTTTAAGGGTTTAGGGGTTTAGGGGTTTAGGTTTTAGGGTTTAGGGTCTAGGGTGGGCAGACATGCACTTTGGGTTTAATTAGCGCACAGGGCGTTCGAGGTTTAGAGCTTTTCCAACTTGCTCCATGGAGTGATGGGTAGACCAGGATCTAGCCCACAGATCTCAACCGCAAACTTTGAAACTCTGAGCAAATGCTGGGCCTCAGTCTGCTCCGCTTTGGATGCCTCCAGAACGGGCACCTGCTTCGTGTGGTTGGCATTGCTTGACTCAGGTTGTGCAGGTAGATTTAGACACCGGTTTAGTCAGGGTCTTATAGATTTCGGGCTTGATCCATCTGGCTGTGTGACAGGGTAGACTCGTTGGGTGTGGAAGCACCCCTTACTAGCTAAGTCGAGGGTCAAGACAGGGGCCTGAATAACTAGAATAGGGTTTAAGTGTCGATGATCGTAGAAAAACGAGACTAAGCGGGATACTATTAAAAAAACTACTTGTACCTTATTCAGACCCATATATGGGGACAATCGGTACTTGAATTTAAGGCTTAGGTGAATCCACTATGGAAAAAATGAGACCCCTGTACCCTGAGGACCCTGCCAATGGTTCCCTTACATAGAAGCTTTTACCGCCTACACCCGTTTCCGATGAGGCCTTGATTCCCGACACTGCTTGCGGACTTGCAGCTCATGTCCAGACACCGTACAAGTCCTTTCCAGACACTATAAAGCCGAAACAAAGCACATAGCCACCAGCAAAATACATGCCTTTTGAAAAGCAGATGCAACAGCCGATGCTCCTAAGAGGAGCTGACGTGAGGCACTTTGACCTTTCCATCCTTCAGACTTTGCCGAAGGGTCTCTTCTTGAAGGTTTCGGTCCATCACGGGGGAGACCAGGACCCGGGCCCTACGCCTGCAGCCTCGCGGGATGTAAGTTTCGTAGCGGTACTCCTCTGACGTGGCTCCAAACCTTGGGGGCAGGTGCTTCTTTTTGGGACTTTTGTAAGTTAGTCTAGACGATTATAGGTTGTTGTGTGTTGCATTATAGAGAAAAACACACTGTCACAGATGTTTATAAGGTGCTTCTTTGGGGTTGGGGTTGGCGTTTAGGATGTATGGCTCAGGGTGTGGGTGCAGAGTAGGGTACCTAAACCATGCTTGGCGCATGGATAATCCAGGGCCATTGTGGCCTCAGGGACGCACAAATAGAAGCTGCGGGTCATCTCTTTGGAATTTCTGAGCGATTGGAGTCTGGGGTCAGAACTTCACCATGGGGTATACAGTATAATGCTGGATATCGTGCACGCAAGCAGTGCCGCTCACTTATTCCACACACTCCGAATGCCTTAGGTCAGCATCCCTTCTCAACAGCGAAAGTTGCAAGATATCGAAAGACGGGAGATTGCAAAACCAGCACACTAAACCCTAAACCTTAAACCCTAAACCCCACAAACTTTAAACACCACCTCCTAAACCCCAAACCTGAGAGGAGGCTCTGGAGAAGGTGCAAACACATGGGTAGTTCTCAAAAGTAGGGTCCCTTTTAGGGTCCTTTTATAAGGGTGCCGTGCTATACTTTGGACTTAACAAGGGGCCCAAATATTGAAAACCACGCAATTCCGCACGGGTGACGACTTTGGTGAATTAAATCCGGTTATATGGCATACGTATAAGCAGAACTGCAGGTTCCGTATGGTATGGTTTCTGCGGGCTTTCGATCCCCAAGTTACCAATACTAGACCCTATAAGCCCGACGGTTTAGGGTTTAGGGTTTAGGGTTTAGGCCAATAAGCCCCACACACTGAACCAGACCATAAACCCGAAGCCCCATAAACGTCCTCTGCCCTCGATTTTGCAAGCCCTGTGCCCAAAATCCTCAGGGTCCTAAACCCAGCCCTAGCCCCAACGCCCCTGACCCTAAACCCTAGAATGAGGGTTTAGGGTTTAGGGGTTTAGGGTTTATGAGCCAAGCAGCCATCTCACAGGGAGTGCCAGGGGTTCCGTCTGCACGGGATAGCGGCACAACCTCTCCGCTAGGTGGGGCCCTAAACTCTAAACTCCAAACCAAAAACCCCACAGTCAGTGTGTGTGTGTGTGTCTTCTGGCCATACGGGCTTCCTGTTGGGTCTAATTGATTACTGTAGGGGCCTAAACAATTACCTATACTATTTTGGGGGGTTCCTGATTCTAAATACAGCAGAAATACCCCAACACCCTGTTCTGTTTATTAAGACCCCGAATTCCCCCCACATTACGGAACTGAAGTAGAAGCCGCAAGGCGCCATGTGACACTCCCCAGAAAGTTCATCGCACCAACCGAAAATACTCGAATTCGGTGCTTGGTGGAGCGGTCAAACCTAGAAACCAGGGTCTCTGCACCCCAAGCCCTCCTGACCTAAACCCTAAACCGCAAACCCTAAATCCTACCCATAGGCTCCTAAGTAGTTCCTTTTTGGGGTTACCTCACAAAAAGGAACTACTTAGGAGCCTATGAGTAGACCCCAAACCCCGAACCCTAAATACCCCAGACCCTCCCTAAGCCCCGAACCCGAGACCCCCCACACCGAAACCCTGAGACCGATCCCTAAATGCCTGGAAGCCCAACCCTGCATAAGGTGCTACGTGCCCAAATGGTAGAATAGACTATGGCCCCAAAATACCGCCCTAAGGCCAAGGAGTAGAATGGACCCGAAGAGATAGCCAAAGAAAAGGCCATTAACTTTGGGTCTAGGGCTTGGGGTTTAGGGTTTATAAGGGTTGCCAAACCGACTTCACGGGCTGCGTGAGCTTGTCTGATGCCTGAAGAATATGGAATAGAGCATGGGCCTTAGTCCTTAAACTGTGTTCAGAAGGCCTCATTAAGCTTCTCTTGATGGGCCAAATCCTTAAACCCTATCTGTGTTCAGAAGGCCTCATTTATAAGCTTCTCTTGATCAACCGGTGAGCTACACCTTACAAACCCTAAACCCGATTTCGGGCTTCGTTCAGGGGTTGTCAAAGGTTTAGGGATGCAGGAAACATAGGGGCCTTAATAATGAGAATAGGGTCTTTTGGGATGTATCTTGTGTAATTTTACAGGGACCACAAGGGGTTTAAGGTTTAGTGTAATCATTTACGGACCATAAGGGGGGAAGTATCTGCCATGTTTACACACCACTCTAAAGGCGGGTCGAACTAGGGTCGCGTCCCCTGACCCAACCCACCTCTCCAGACCCGAGCACACATCCTCAACATCGTTGTGGAAGTCGATCGATGACGGTGTTCCGGAGGGCCAGAAGACAACCTGCGGTTTAGGGTTTAGGGTTTAGGTGTGGCAGCCTGGGGGGATCAGAAACGCAAGCCTTCGGGCATCCTCCTCTCCGAGCGCCACTTGTGAAACTCAAAGCAAGCTACATGGCAGAGTACAATGGTAACAGTATATATATATATGTATATATATATATATATGTATATATATATATATAAAGTAACCCTAAACCCTAAATCCAAATTAGCACTCATGAAGCTCCTTTAGCTATTACCCTAAACCCTAAACCCTAAACCGTGTCTTCGCTGGCCTAGCTTGCAGCGGCTCTGAACACCGAGGCCCTGAAGCCCTAAACCCTGCAAGGCGGAGCTCCGAAACCCTAAGCCCGACCTGTAGCCGGAAAGACCTACCTCTTTAGGGCTCCGTATCAAGGTTTATATGCATGAATGAAAAATAGATAAATAAATAAACAACTATATATATATAATATATTATATATATATATAGTTTCTTAAAAGGTACGTAAGTCTCTTGGGTTACAGGGACGCCCTAGCAGCCGAAACTCCAACCCTAGGCCCGAACCTAATGCAAGGACCTCAACAATTAGAATAGGCAAACACTTGCAAGGGAGAACCACTAGAATAGAGTTTGGCGGGGCTCCTTTTGAGTGTAAGTATACCAAGGAACCCTAAACAAGTAATGTTGGTAATCATTTCGGCCAAGTTAAGATTGTTTCTTAAACTCTGAAGCCCGAAATATCAGTCAGATGCGAGGAGCTCCATCCACGCGGCCAAGCCGACACCAGGTGCCCGACGCGGCCGTGAAGACGTCCTCGCACTCCCCACTGAAACAGGGTCCTAGCAGTGGTTTTACCCTACTGTAAACCCGACACCCCCTTGGACAACAACGGTTCAGGGTGGAATCCTCTGCCTACTCTCACCCATAACCTGGCTAAGGTATCTGCGGGATTCTCGTATTCAGAAAGGCCTACTGCTCAACATCGCTCAAAACCACGAGTACTTGGAATGGTTTTTGTGGCGAGAAGCCCGGAACGATGAGCCCCAAGGGTGCTAGACACTGAGCGATTAGCCATAAATACTCTAAGCCCCAAACCTCAAGACCCCCAAACCCCTGAACCCAATCTAAAAAAGGGCGATATACTTCATGCACTTCCAGCTGCCCAGTGGGGGTCTTGCGCCCATTCTGGATCCCGCAGCAGCATCTCCAGCTCAAAGGTGCTATCTCCAAAGAACTTGACTAGCGCCTTGCACTCCTCTGCCGACTTGAGTTTGTGGGACTTGCACTGCTTTGCCGAGTGCTTGGCTTTTTGGTTTGTGGACTCGAAACCCTAAACCCTACAAACCTGCAATTCCCAAAGCCCAAAATTGGTTTACACTCTACTCCGGGTTTGGGAAGGATTCAACCCTAAAGCCTAAACCACCCGAACCTTCAACCCTTAACCCCGGCTGAAACCCTGGAGGGCTGGGGATATGGGTAGTTTTCTAAATTAGGGTCCCTTTTAGGGTCCTTTGTGTAGCGCTGCCGTACTATTTTGGGGATTGAAAAAAAGGGACCCTAATTTAGAGCACTGCCCATGTGAGCTTTGAGGGTCTCCCCAAACCTTAAACCCTGAAGCGGCACTCCATGCCGGACTGATCCCAGAAGCCATCGCCATCGCAATCGAAGGTCAGGTCATAGACTTCCGGGGAGGAGTCGCAGAGCACTGTGAGTGTGGCGTCCTGGGGCTTGGGTTTTAGGGGTTTGGGTTTAGGGGTTGAGGATCTAGGGCGCAGGGCGCTGTACTTGTGGAGTCGAATGAGTCATATCAATGATTCTTGTGTCCTACAGCCCCAAAACTCGCTCGAGTCCTCCATCTCAAGATCGCCCACAGCTGCGTCAACAGGGAGCTCGCGATGCCCATGGACGAACTTCAGCCGTGGGCAATGAACATAAGCCTTGCTATGCACGCTGACACTTCGAGGACCTGGAAACTGAAACCCACAACCCTAAACTGAAAAAACCTTGAACCCTAAACCCACAACCAAGCTGCCGAGAGTGGGCGCTCGAGGCTCCGGCTGACCGTGCGAGGGAGGCTTTACCCCGGTATACGGGGACCGTATCGTGACGCCGCCCCGCTAGGCAGTAAAGAAACCCTCACCATTGAGGACGCAATTTCCGAAAAGCACTAAAAGTTGGGGTCTCCGCCCTCAAAAACATCTGGGTGGTGCTTTTTGTTGCTCTCCCTACAAAAGTTGGGGGTCTCAGAATCCAGGCCTAGTGGCCCAGCGGGTGCGCTCCTTATTATTGTACAGTAAAAGGCGCACCCACCTCACGAACACTGTATACACGCCCTAAGCCCACAACCCTAAACCCTGCACTGAACAATCCTAGCCTCTAAACCCAAACTTCAAATCCGGACGACATGCGGACGACATGCTTACGCCAAAGCCCCAAACCCTTAAGCCTGAGACCCAAACCGCTCCTGGTAAAAAGGCTTAGGGCTTAGGGTTTAGGGTTTGCGGCTTAGGGTTTAATTAAGGCTTCGGGCAAAAGGCATCCTAAAGCCTAAACCCTTGAAGCACGACAGGGTCTAGGATGTTCGGTTTTTGGGCTTCTGGTCCGCGAACAGAGTGAAGCCCAGAATGGTACGGTTCAGGACCAAAGGTCAAGGGATTTGGGAATTGTGATTCATTCGTTAGGTCTATGTAGGTCAAGGGCTCGAGAGGTTTCGGGGCTTGTGCAGACGCGCCACAAGAGATGGGAGGCAAAGAGCCACCCGGATCTTCTCACTCAGGTCACGAAGCGTATCTCCAGGCTCACAGGATATCCAGACCCCATCGCCACTCAGCGCACGCACCCAGAACATGTCTGCAACGGCGCGCCGGCTTAAGTCGTGGACCTGAAACCAAAATCAACTCAGCGCCGGTGTATGCTTGTTTGCATTGTTTTTTGCAGAATGATTGTGTGAAGTAACACTAGTTAGGCAGGATTTAGCTTCGCTTCAACCTTGTGATGAGTACCCACTCCCGCCCCTGTCCCGACACCATGGATTCCAAAGCATTATCCGAGGCCCCAAATACCTAAATTTAAGGGCCTTGATAGTTAGAATAGAGATCCCTCGTGTTCCTTTTCTAAAATTATAGCATCATGTGCCCCAAAAGCCATACTCAACTTGTTGAAGCCCCTATATGACGTACCCTCAAAGACTGCTACAACATGCTAGTAACGCTAAACTCTATGAACTCCCATTTCCCCCACCTTGCCTGGAACTTCGGGTTTAGGGTTAAGGGCCTTACAATCCAGTAGGTTATGGTAGCTCGAGGGCCTGCGGTTTAAAGTTTATATAAACCACGGACTGGTTGAGCCTGAGCCGAGGGAGCAGATCGACGCAATGCGCTCGGGTGCGGTTTTCGGATTTAAGGCTTAGGTTCAGGGTTTAGGGATTAGATGGGATTAGGGCTTAGGGTCTGGAGTCTAGGGTTTAGGTTTAGGGCCTAGTTAAGGGTTTAAATTTAAGGTTGAGGGTTTTAGTTAAGGGTTCTTGCGCAGACGGTTGCTTTCCGGTGACCCAAGATGTCGGTCGGCACAGTCACAGTCAGCTTGTAAGGCTTGGGGTTTAGAGTTTAGGGGTTAAGGGTTTAGGGATTTAGATTTAGGAGCGCTTCGGATGTAGAAGGTTTTGCTCTGGTCCTGCCATCGCCTATAGGCCCAACCCAAATAAGCTGGAGAGTACCTAGAGCGCCGGTGCGCACAGTGGCAAGACCCCTGTCTAGGCTCTACATACTGTTGCATGTCACATAACAACTACTTAGCACAATGGCTTTATGATATATACTCCGTGTGGGGAGGGACCAAGGGCGGGCAGGCCTTGATATGCACACCGAGAGTATGCTAGATACCACCCCGGCCACCGAGTCTCTCCGGGCTTAGGGTTTAGGGCTTTAGGGGTTGGAGCATGCGGAGCCCAAAAAAACAAAACCTAAACGCCTCCTCTCCGTCCCCGAACAGAGCCCGACCCTGACCTTATAGTCATAATACCCCCCCAGGAAAGATTATAAAGAAAAAAAGATATTTCCCGGTGACCCGGTGTGTCTTCTGTCTAACATTTTTTTAAAATGAAAGGCAAGCGAAAGAACAGAGCCCACGCTTTCATTGTTAGACAAAGAAGCACAGAACCTACTGAACGAAATGCAAGACTTGGAGATGAATACATGAGACTTTTGCATCTAGAATCTAGTTCCAGCTCCAGCGGGAAGGCGCATGAAATGACGAGTGTTATCCGGACACGGCAGTAACAGGGTTTGGTGGAAAAAGACCCAGTTCAATATTCATAAAGCAAAGCAAGGGTGAGGAACGCACCGCTTCAGGCATCGCATTGCTGTAGGTGCTTATAGAGTTGTTGCGTAGAAATGTTTCCAGGGTTGCTCATTGCATGTCCGTTTAGACCTGTATGGCCCTTAGCATTCACACCAACAAGACGTTTCAGGTAAGACTAAGACCCTTGCTCTATGTAGGCCACTGCATATGTGCTGGGGTATATATTCATCAAAGGGCTTTGGTGAACCCTCAGCCGCCAGAAAAAGCCCGTGAAAACTGCAAGCGCTCTAGCCTTAGCCAGAAACCCGGTTTAGGGTTTCTGTATAGGGTTTAGGGTTTGGGCCCCTTCGAGGAACCTTGAAAGATTCCCGTCACAGGTTTATAGGTGGACCCTTCGATTCAGGGGCCTTGAACATTAGCACAGGTTGTGGAGTCTACTATAATAACCTACAGTATAAGGGTGCCGTACTATATTGGGGACCTAAAACGGGACCCTAATTTAAGGAACTACCCATATGGGGGTTTCCGAAAATAGGGGACCCTAATACAGTGCCCTCAACAGTAGGATCCTTATTGCAAGGACCCCAAAATAAGGTACCCCTAATTTTTCGGAAAGTCCCATATCACAAAACCCAAAGAAACACCGATGAAGCCTGCTCCATCTGGAAGAGGAGCTCTTGCCTTAGAGCAGAATCATGGGTACCCAAAACCCTACACCCAAAACCCTAACCCCTAAACCCTACACCCTAAACCCTACACCCTAAACCCTACACCCTAAACCCTAAACCCTACACCCTAAACCCGAAACCCTTCCGGATTTAATTTAGGGTCTTGAAGTGTTAGGGTTCGGCTTCCGGGGTTTAAGGCCGAAGGTTGAAACACTCAGAATCAACAGACTCAGGGCTTAGCGTTGAGGATGTAAGGGGGTTTTAGGATTTAGCATTTAGGGACTTTGGCCTGAAAGTAGTCCCTATATGGGTCTAGGGTTTTAGGATTTAGGGTTTCGGGTTTAGGATATTTAAGGGGTCAGGGCTTAGGGTTGGGGCTTTAGGGTTTTAGGAGTTTTAGGGTTGAGGGCTCAAGGTTGCGGGCGAAAGAACCAGGGGACTTGGTGACTATTGAGAGAGCCCGAGACCACTTCGTGCAGGGTTTGAGGTTTAGGGTTTTGGGTAAAGGTTTTGGGTGTAGGATCTAGGGCATTCTGATAGTTAAGGGATGTTCAGAGTACGTCTTCCTTACCTAAGGTTCTCTTGGTGAGTGAGTCATGGTCGGAGCCATGTTTCGCCTTGGGGCTTGGGCAGAAGTCGCCTACAGCGGGGGCATATGAGACAGTAGGAGTTAGGATTAAGGGGACTCGTGGGGATATACCTTTTAAGAGAAACATAAGTAGGATTAGTAAGGGTCCCCTTTAATTAAGGGGTTTCCCTAGTACTACCTGGGACACAGCTAGTTGCAATGCAACATATAGCTCACTTTCAACTCAACCTTTGCCAAAGCCTGTCACCTTACACTCATGACTCGCAACCCTACAGCCAAAACCCCAAATGCTGAAACCCTAAACCCTAAACCGAAACCCCCAAAACCAGGCTCCCAACACTGTGAAGCTTTCTGCAAAGAGCTTCAGGAGGCAGCGATTCAGGAGCGACAGGTTTAGCACCTCGGGGAGCTGCTAAGGGTATAAGTTTTAGGGTTTAGGGTTTAGGGTTTAGGGTTTTACGGTTTAGGGCTTTAGGGTTTAGGGTTTTAGGGGTGTGTTGCATAATACGGTCTAGACTCTAAACGCCGAGCCCCAGCTCCCAAAAGCCCAAGAATCTTGTACCCCAACTCCCAGAAATCCTTCACTTCCCTTTCAACGGTGCTGCCCTCCAGCTGGGTTTAGGGTTTAGGGTTTAGGGTTTATGCTGCGAAGACTCACACGAACCCCAATGTAACAAACCCAAAGCATTCACTTGTCGGGGCTAGATGGTATCAGCTGTCCCTGGAGCCCATTCAACCACCTCCCCTCCTGAGGCAAACAACAAGGCCTTGATACCGGCTTTCCCTTCAGGGGAACCCTAAACCGTAAACCGTGTTGCAGGTAACAAAACGGAGAAGGGTTCAGTTGGTGTCGTTCTTACCCTAAGGGTCCATGCACCCACACAGTATATACTTTGGCCTTAACATGTAGCTACGTACTCTAAGGACACCAAAGTATATAGGCCGAAATAACTGCCAGTACCATTCCTTTGGACCATTTCCTATAACTATACCAGACAAATACCCAGGGCTCCTCACTATACTTAAGTCAAACATACCCTCAAACCCTAACTATACTTATAGTAGAAACTACCCCCATTAAGGTCACTACAGTATAGTAAGCTCGGCACGGCTGAGAGCGAGCAGGGTTTCGAGCCACTAGGTGCCGATCGGTGGTGATGCAGCAGCTGGGCCTCAGCGCGACTCAACGCCAATTTAGGGGTTTAGGGTTTAGGGCCAATTTGGGGGCCTTCGTGTTTGAGGTTTTAGGGTTGAGGGCTCAGGGGTTTTGGAGTGTAGGATTGACGGTTAAGGGTTTAGAGTTCATGCAGGGCTTTAGGGTACCGGGATAAGGAGCTAAGGGTTTAGGATTTAGGGATGAGGGTTAAGGGTTTTAAGGGTTTTAGAGTTTAGGGTTAAGGGTTTGGGGTTTTAGGCTTTAGGGTGTAGTGGTTTGTTGACTGGGGCCTCGATGTACTAAGTACCTTAATAAGTGAAACTATAGACATGGAGACCATAAGGGAATGTTGTCACAAATTTTGCAAAAACCCATGTATGGGCAGTGCTCTAAATTAGGACACCTTTTAGGTTCCTTTTTAAAAAGGTGCCGTACTATTTAGGGGGACCTAAAAAGGGACCCCCATTCAGAACTACCCATGTATGCAGGGCTACGGGACCACGGGAAAGCTCAGAGATTGAGGCTTTGTCTAGCATAGGGGCCTTAGTAACCTTAAGAACTAGAATAGGGTTTTGGGGTAATTATACTATAATCATACGAAGGAGCCCCCCAGTTATCATAGGTCAGTATTTAAGCTTCCATATTATGGAGGTCTCAGAAGTTGCCCAAGCGTTTTGGAGCATGAAGGGACTCCAAGGGCTCCATGTACCCAACTTGCATATACTTTGTGGGAGTTAGGATTAGGGGGACCCTGGAGGATATAGACCCTCTCAATAAGGTCCTCTTTAAGAGAGCTACAAGTAGGGTTCAGAAGGGTCCCCTTTAAAGGGGTCTCCCTAATCCTACCTAGGACTTTGGCCTGAAAGTAGTCCCTATATGGGTTTAGGGTTTTAGGGTTTAGGGTTTAGGGTTAGGTACTTTGGGGCCAAAGTCTTTACCTTTTGGACACATGGACCCTTAGCCCTTACCCTCACAGGACTCATATTTTCAGGCTTTTGCGCCTAAAGATCCTATTATATCTGGCGTCTTGGGCCATTTTGATGCTAAGGGTGGGGGGGGGACCGATAACTTTTGCGGAATCTCCTAAACCCTAAACCCCCTAAACCCTAAACCCCTAAACCCTAAACCCTAAACCA